GTTATAAAAAAATATCGAAGGAGAAAGATGAATGATTCAAAGAATATTATATTCGAACTACTTTAAAAAAAAAAAAGTACAATGTGGATGTGTAATCAACATTTGCATTTTTAAATCTATACTTTTTTTTGCATAGATAAATTTCTCTAAATAAAGAAGTATTGGAATACAATGATAAAAAGTTAACGAGATATTTAAAAAGAAAGATGTAGTATCATCTTTCTCAATATTTTTCTTTAACTGGACTGGTAACAGAGTTACTTAAAGCAATTGTAGACTACTTCGTACATAACTACAAAATGTATAAGCATACTATTTATAATAGCATTTATAATATAACATTTACATACTAGGTAATTACTTCCAAGTATATTAAATTTTTAAAAAATAAATAAGTGTAAACTCTCTCTCTCTTTCTTTCTCTCTCTCTCTCTTCCCTCTTTCTCAAACGAGAAGAAATATTTTTATTTCTCATTCGTATTTCTTCATTCCCATATTTTTAACGAATTTATACATCACCCATAAATATTTAAACAATTGATAAGAAGATTAATATTTTTATTATTCTTTTAATTTTTATGATGCAGTCATGTTTTATTGTTAATCCTTCATTTCTTACAATGCTTAGGAAATGATATTCTAAATTGAAAGTGAAACAAACAATATATTTGCATTATTTAAGTTCCCTGTGAATTTGTAATAAATACTTAACATGGAATTTGTGGAAACTTTTATGAAGAATATGACTACTTATAAATAGACATAACAATATCTCAATATAGAGAATAAATACACATGAAATCACTTAAATGTCTCTACAAGATAAATTTTCATCACTTTCCTTTATTTGTTAATAGACACGATCAATATCTTAATAGATGATAGTTTGAGACTTATATATGACTGAAGACACTTCTCGATTTACGCAATACTTTTTTTTACGCAAGTTTCTTTTTATGTGATACTAATTTATACACGATTTCAATTTACGTGAATTCATTTTACACGGTCCTTTTTTCTTCTCTTCTATTATTGGTAATTACTCTTAACAATAACAAAATACTTGCTACTCTTATATCGATTATTTATATTCTATTAATAATATATATAATATATTCTATAAATATATAACATATATAAATAATAATATATTCTATAAATATATAACATATATAAATAATAATATATTCTATAAATATATATTTTATAATACATATAATATAATATATAAATAATATATATTTTATATACATTTTATATTCTATTATATTCTATTGCTATTCTATATATAATTCTCATTGATCTTGCTTGTGAAATAAATCTTTTTATAACTTATATCGACTTTTCCCTTTCGTATTTTTTCGTATTAGTTTTCTTCCGCTTAAAATTAAATTATTATTACTATTATTCAAGATACACATACACGGTATGTTTAAAAAGTTCCAAGACTAATGTAATAAAGAATTAAATGTGTGTTAATCGAGGAGTTTTCATTTTTCAGTTTCCTACATACATCCATCCTCTAGTTACACGTTCAGTACAATGTTCATAGAGTGCTTTGAAAGTCTTGGAGAGTTTCTCTCGTATTCAATTGCTTGATCACTATCTCCTTTATCGCGTTTACCTCTTCACAATAGGTCCCAAATTGGTAACTTGATTTTCGGGAATAAGAAAAAGTCAACAAATGCTAGATCTGGCGAATACGATGGGTGGTTGATAACACACGTTTTTGCTGAAAATTCTGTGACGATGATTGACGAATGTGCGGCTGCGTTATCGTGCAAGAACCATCGTTAAAGCTTCGGTCTCACGCGTCGAATTCGTTTCAAAAGTCTATCCATTATCCGAGATGTAATGTCCCGTCTCGATAGTAGGAGATTACATCTCAACAACAGAGAACGAACAGATTCATTCGTTTATCTTGATGCAATTTCTCTTTTGTCATCTTGTCAGAGGTCGTCCTTTTCTTTTGTCATCTCTAAGTAATTGACAATCTTCTTTAAATCGTTTAAATCATTAAAAAACTACTTAGATGCTTTTTTGCATATACATATTACATATATATATTTTATGTGAATTTTATGTCAATAAAAAGTGTATAAAAAGATAGTTTAGACAAGAAATGAATAGTTTCGAGACATTTACAATCTGGTGTAATTAATTTTTCTGTAAATAAACGCACAGGGATCGTATAAATGTTTTCTCAAGTAAAACTGTATAATTTTTAATACACTAATCTAGATTCATTATATCTTACAAAATTGTACATAGTTGTACGTTGTTAAGTTCACCTTTATATTATAAAATTTATTGTATAAAAAAACAAGAGAATACAACTTATATCTTTCCTCGTTTTTCATTCGATAGATTTTTACAAAATTAAAGTTAAAATATCTAAGACGCTGTAATAAAACAGACAGAAAGGATAATACGAAATAAGTAAAAGAAACGTAAACAAGATTAATGCAATGAAGAATCGGTTAATGTGAAATGTAAGACATGAAAGAAATTTAACAGTTATCACCATAGGAAAGCGGAAATCAAAAATTGACGATGTTTATACTTCAAGATCATAATGATAGTTCGTTGAAAACGTCATCATTTGATAAAAATACAACAGAAATACATGTATAACCAAAAGGAAAATAAATACATTATAGTGCCCAAAAGGTCGTCATGTAAGTACTAGTAGTGTTATAGATTAATTACAGTCGTTACGCATATCCTTGAAAGAAGAATAATTCAAAGCACTTTTTAATAGAAAATTAACATTTAATAAACCTTTCTTAATGTAGTAATAAAATCAGCGAGTTTGTTTTTTGTGAATCATTGCACGTTAACAGGCTCAATAAATAATTAATCAGTAGTGTCTTCGTTCATTGTGAATCATATTTTTTGATAATATTAGTAAAAGTCTAGTAATATTTAATTTCTTTTTTTTTATATTTCAATAAACGATTCTTACAGAATAATATTAAAATCGTTGAATTTTGGGAAAAACTTTTTTTAAACATTGTTAAATTGCAAAGTTACACAAATATTTCTTATTTAATATGACCCACCCAAATATAATAATATACATTTTTACAATGATTTAAACAATATTCAAAGTAAAAAGGATCAATGTTTGATATTTTTTAATATATCTGAAAAGAAATTTATCTATAACAGGTGGTAAAGCAAATTTTTTTTCTCGCGGAAATTATCAAAAACAAAAAAAAAAATGCAATTTTCTTTTAAATTGAACTAACTACGTGAATTGCTAGATTAGCAGTAATCTTCAATATCTATAATTGCTTCACGTTCTCTACAATACGTAACTGTTTTATTTATGTTTCACTATTATATTCAGAGTGGCCATTTCATAAATTTTATTCGCTTTATATGCTAATTTATTTAGATAAGTATTTTCATTCATGGCCAAAGTCGCCTGTATATTCTCAAGAAACAGATCCATGAAAAGCTCTCTCAGAATGAAATCGTTGCATTGGCCGCCAGCCAGATTCCTCACCCTCTGCAAGTAGTTTGATGGTTTGCTGCCTCCGATATCATGCCCTCGGATAAGTTTTCGCAGAATCCGATTCGTTAGTCTCATCAAAGATGTTACCTTTTTCAACCGCTTCATCATATTTTCTTTCATTCGAAAAAGGAGAGGAAAAGAGACTAATACACTGAAGAGCATACCTTTTACATAAATTTTTGTTGATTATCGTTAACATTAAGATATGTGAAACATGAACATTTTTTGAGAAATAAAGTTAATACACTTGTGGGAGCTTGTTGATATTTTAAATTATTATAACTTCGTTCGAAAAATCCACATGGGCTAATTTTAAACTAGAAAACCTCTACTTTGACAATCTTGAATTCGCTTTCTTCAAAGATATTTTAACATACAGTGAATGGAAGTACTTTTGTCCAAAACAATTATAAAAATTCAAACGTCTGTAAAAACACGAAAAAACTTTTTTAGAAACTAAATCCATCACAGTCTTGAAAATTAAAGTTTTTCCTTTAAAATTTGTCATATGATTTTTTTCCGCTATTTTATAGAACTTTGAATATTAGAGTTATGAAAATTCGACGAAATTAAAATTTCTTAAATTTCTATCGTTTAATAAAACATCATGTCATACATCAATACAAAATTCAAGTATTGAACAGTTAAAATTAAAAACAAATGTATATAGAATTTTTTTAACAAAATATAATTATATAATAATAGTGTAATTATATCTACATAAAAAACAATATGAAAAGTATATAATAATATAATATATATTACAATAATATCTGAATTATTCAAATTCTAATATCTAAATATTTTGAGAATGTCAGAATATTTAATAACAATAAATGTCCTTTCCTAACTATTTTATGTTTTCTTGTACTAAATATATCAAACTATTTTCTTACTTATTTACTTACTTATTAAATTAATAAGATCCATAAAATGTTTTATTTCATTTTAAAATATAATCAAAATAAGAGGATACCATTTGTAAATTTTATATTAAAGATTAAATTAATATTTGAATTAAGGAAAAAAATGTGCTTTCACTGGAATTTAGCCAAAGTCAAATTTGACAGAGGTGTATTAATAGTAATATCTTTTGCTCTATAAATTATATGAATAAAACTGCTTTGTATATCTTAAAACTGCTTTATTTTAGGTTTACACTAACTAATAAAACTGATCCCAAAACATTTCCTAACAATGAGGCTTTTAATAAAATATCAATAATATAAATTTAGAGTATTGTTACATTTGTTTTTTAAAAAAATTCATGTAATCAAGAAAAGATTGTTATCATCGACAATTGCAACTGTAGAGCAGTCTCTTATTGATGTACAAATAAATACTATCCATTTGTATCAAAATAAAATTAAAACAATAAAACAATTTAATAAAAATGTAAAACAAACCAGTTAAATTGTTTGCAAATTTTTGTAACGATACTAAACTAATGTAAATAAAAGTAAAGATGTTAATATTTTTGTAAAAATTGTACATTACATATTATATACAAAATAATATAAACTCTATTCATTACATACACGTACGTATATACACATTATAAATACAAAGTGTTATAAATCATTATCTGTATCAGAACTATCGTAAGTCACTAACGATGTATTTAACGTGCTGGTAACAGTTTTCGATGTTGAAGGTTCTGGTTGAGTAAGCTTACAAAGTGTACGCATTTGATCTGTCTGATTTCTAGAGATATTGCTTGATACAGAATGTGATGAACTTTTCAGTTTATCTCTAGATCGTGCAATAGTAATCAATCGTTTCAAAGGATTATGCCCATTCTTTTTCTTATCTGAAACAAAACAATCTATTATAGAAACATTATACTGCAATCTATTATAGAAACATTATACTGCAATCTATTATAGAAACATTATACTACAATTTATTATAGAAACATTAGTTGTTAGTAATGTATTGTCTAAATTTACCTCTTTTATGCATCAATAGCTTAGCTAATTTTATATCATCTTCATGTTCATTAACTAAATCAATATTCAATCCATTTTTTTTAAGCAATACTGAATCCAGACCTTGTTTCTTTTGTAACTCTTTTTTCTGAGTCTATAATGCAAAATAGTTGTTAGTAATCAATATAATATACACATGACATCAAACTACCAAAAAATAACTAAACATACTCTAAATGCAGAGCGTAATACAGAATTTGACGTATAATCATCTTTCCATGTAGCATTATTTAATGCTATTGCACTTTCCAAAGAAGATTCTCTTAACTTTGCTACTTTCTTATCTTCTACACCATGTTCCAACTTATACATAGCATCATCATATAATCTACAGGATACTTCTTTTGTTTCTGGTATTACTTGTTCATTTTCTTTAGGATCCCACCGATTTTCTTGACGTCTTGCACCACTCACTATTACATAATCTAAATTCTATGCCAAAACATACTATATTAAATTCTGAATAACAAAATGTAATGAATAAAGTAATAAAAAGATAATACTCACTGCTGGATCAGTCTTTATTTCAAAATGATTTTCACACAGATGACATTTCATACGAAACTGATACAAAGGTGTACTATAATACATTCCAATTTTCTTTTTCTCTGCATTATAACGAACACCCATTCCTATATGATTACCACAGCCATCACACCATATATTATATGGCATTTCAAATCTGACTATGAGGATCCCCATGTGCAATTTTCTTGCTCTTTCACGTAATGCATGAGTACCAAGAAATTTATTGAGTCCACCAACGCGGGGATCATAGTCAGGTGGATAATATAAATTTGTTCCTTTGCGTTCCCCCATTATTCTAAAGAATAAAAATTAAATATAATTGTTTATTACATCGTTTCTATTAAATGTTTTACAAAGTATTTAAAGATGTTATTTTTATATTATATTTAAAACATTATTATTACTACATACCTTGATTTTTAAACTGTCTTCAAGAAACAAATCTTCACTTATTTATTTAAAAGCTAAGCAGAAGTCAGTCCTCTATAAAACTGAATCAGTTTCTTATATTATACCACTGATTAAATACAAAATAAAGGACAGATAGAACTTTTTCACGTTCCACGGAACCTCACCATTCTCATATTACATGAGAGGTTATTGATTCAGTCACAGACGAGAACATATGAACACACCAAGTATCTTACGGTGTTTCGTGGGCCATGACTTGAAATACCGATATAGTAAAAAATCACTGGTAGCACATTCTACGTTCAAACAACGATGAACTGGGGAAACACACCAAGTCACAGATCAACGACAGAAGTTGGTCAAGTACTGAATGCGCTAGAATATGATTTTTGGAACTAGCCCATTACAGTGTTGTCAACTTTCAAAAGAACCCATTACAGTGTTGTCAACATTACAGTAACTAATCAAAATCTTTATTATATATATGTCAAAAAAAAACTCTATCCATGTTTTACATATACGATTATATACATTTTTTAAAATATATAGTAAATTAAAATTTTTAAATTATTAGTACATGGTTTTAGGTTTAAATGATTTATATTTTATTAAATATTCTTAAAAACTTTTTAACCAACCAAATTAACATTAAAATATTAAAATTATTATATTTCCTCATTTACTTATATTATATGTTCAAATTTATTTTTAATTTTTAACAATTTTATTATAATTATGCAATTATATTGTCATTTCATTTATCAAAGAAGGTAATTGGGTGAATGTGTAAACAAACTACTCTTTCACCGATTTCGATGATTTTGTATGTTTAAACTCATAAAATCTTATTACTATATATCATTAAGTCATTTATATTTTGTTATCATTTTTATTAACTATTTATAACAATAAATGATCTCGGTCCTTCCAAATGCAATTTAGTGAATTCGTCTTAATAAATAACATTGTACTATAAAAAAGAAAATATGTGTATTATATCGTTTAAGAAAATAAATTTGAATTCGAAATTTTGAAACGGACGATTTGCAAAAAATAATTTACAGTACACAATGTGTCCCTTTATTCCAAACAATAAAAACATTTTAAAAAACATTTCGATAAGTCCAATTTTTTACAAAATCGAATTTGCGAAATAAAGGCAATTAATTTAGACTGTGAATTTATATATTTATAAATAAAAAAACATTGTATCTAATTATGTTACTCATCAAAATATCATATTTCAATCAATTTTTTCTAATAAATTTAAATAATCTTTTATTTTTATTTGAAATAAATATGAATAATCTTTCTAATAAATATTGTTTCTAATAAATATAAATAATCTTTTAAATAAATAAAATAATCAAATATATAATTTAAATAAATAAATATAAATTTTTTATTCCAATTTCCATCAATCGCTGTTTTATATAGTTATATTCCTTCATTGAAGATTAGCCACTGTCCATATTTTTTGATTTTAATTCTCATCACCAGTAGCACTGCAGTGCAAAACTTGTCTGAATCGGTACAACAGGATGTAACACGAAAATGATAAGAGGGTCCTGAGTATCCCCAATCGTAGGCCGAAAAAATATATTGCGTGCGAAGTCACAAACGAAATATATCATAAAATGTTAATTACTAATAGGGGTGTGCGAATACCCGAAATTTCGGATTGGGCTTACACAAAGTCGGGCGGGTAGCCCAACTATTTCAGATAGTCCGTCTATTTCGGATCGAGTTGGAAAAAGTTCAAATGGGATATGATATGCATTATATTGCGTTATCGAAATCAATTATTCATAATATTTAATAAACATATATATATTTTTTTCTTTAAATGTAATAATATTTATTTTAAATGACAATATAAAAAAGATAATTGTTCTACATTTTGTGATAGTAATTTCGCTCGAGTCGGTGTTATTATATTTCCAGGATAAGGAAAATAATCTTTCACTCGTAGTATGAGTGGCAGGTAGAGCAAGAAAATTTTTTGCAGCTAAAGACAATAGTGGAAATCTGGCTGTATTGCATTTCCACCAACTAATGTCTATATTTCTAGCACTAAAACCATCGGCGAAATACATACAGTGACTCTTATTAATATCTGGACATCATGCTATTCAAAATATTGTTGTGGACTTCGATTGTTTATAATAGTAAGTTTGGATTAATTTTTTAAATAATATATTAGAACATTCATTATAGTTTATAGTAACATAAAGTTTATTTATTTATTGCACATATTTTTCTTAATATCAAACAATAAATTGAATTATGAAATTATGAAATATAGTGTGGCATAAATATTCGGACATTTAAAGAACTATAATATTTAAACTTGAAAATTGTTAATATAAACAATAATTAATATTTTGTTGGGTAGCCCTTAACTTCAATTACATATCGCAGACGTTTAGGCATATTTCCAGTAATTTTCTTTAAGTAATTGAGCGGGATATTCTTCCATTCTTCGATTAATCGTTGTTTTAACTCGTCTTTCGATTTATTGACGTATGACAATTAGTTATTTTTGACCGAGAAAAAGGAAAAACGTATCGAGAAATCGGTCATCTTTTAAAATTAAATAAAAGAGTACCGTGGCTGATATTGTATGTGGAGATACAATGATGAAGACCGAATTGAATCAATTCCTCAGAAAGGTCGGCCAAACTTAACAACCGAGACAAACGCATTATTCTAAGAAAAATAAAAGTGAATCCTAGTTTAAGTGCTCTTAAGTTAATTTCAGAAATATATTTATTAATGCGAAATATATTGGATAATATTGGGAGACAGTTGGATATGTTTCGCCAATCATTTATTCTGTAACATTTTTTTTGGTTTCTGCCTTTTAGAGGGTATTATTCCGGTTTTTCGGCTTCAAAAAAATCGATTTTTTTTTTTTTTTTTTTTACATTTTCTCAAAGTACATGTTTTCGAGAATGTTTATGTAAAGGGATTTGTTTGAATTCGTAAAATTAGCGAAATTATAGATGTTTAAAGCAGAGACCGAATCGGTATTACGGATACCGGAAAAATACCGGTATTTTTAGGTTACTATTCGATGCCGGTTTGATGAAACCGAAATATTGCGAATACCGGTATAAATCCGATATAATACCGGTAAATAAAATAGTAATATATTAGAAAAGGAAAAGGAGACAATGATTAAATGTTTTCATAAAGCTG